GGTTTAAAAACCCTAACCAGGAGACTCGATTACATAGGTCCCACTAGGCTCCCTTACTGGTGTCTCCGAGATCGTCGTCACCGATGTTTAGAGAAACAACGCTATGGACTGCATGTCGCAAACAGTGGCGCTCGTGCATTCATTCATTATTCCGCTAACACCACATTCTATAGGAATTCTCTATCTCTCGCTTGAATTTGCTTTCAACATTCTAATCTTCATCCTACTCTTTTATCCAAGGTGGCAGCCAAAAGACAGCAACCAAAACCGGCGCACAAGAGTGCATGATTAATGGCTGTAAAAACTGAATTGAACTGAACAAAACCCTGATCCATCTGATTCTGACACTGGACTATTCATTGTTTTCTCCTCCGTCTCTCTCCCTCTCTACGTTTGTCACCATTCCCGTCACAGATCCAAGCTCCTCGGATCGCAGTTCAGACAAGCAAACGTTTTTGGCTGAACTGGACGTGGCTGATTTGACCAATCCACTATTAAACACGGTCACCTATTCCGATCTGAAATATTGGTGCACCGTATTCTATTACGAGTTGAACACTCGAGTCGGGGACGCATTCCACGCCGGTCGATCAACTCTCACCATTGATGGATTTACGGAGCCATGCTATCGGGCGGATCGATTCAGTCTGGGCAGTTTGAGTCATGTAGATCGACCGCCCCAGGTCGAAATGACGCGAAGACATATCGGTGAGTGAATTAATGGGTGACTGCAATCCTAATGGGAGCGAATAAAACACGTTGGATACTGATCATCACTCTTATTACGATCGGTATATGCTGTGTTGCTTCGTTCATTTTAAAAAAAATTGACTAAAGTAGTCCACTCTGGTTGATCATGTGTATAAGTTTTTTTTATCGGGATAGTTTGAAATCAGCCCAAGGTTAGGTTAGTATTATTATTACTTTGTTTTACAAACCCCTGATACGATGTTTGGTCTGTATATCACATAACCATGGAAACAGTGAGGAAGAAGGAGAAGATGAGAACAATCACATTTTTACAGGAGGTTTACAACTGGCGACATCTTCCGGTCATGTGTAACATTGTCTTCAACCATTACACGTCCAATTCTTTAGATTCCCGAGACACGGAGTCGAGGATGACTAACGTGTGCTGAGCTGACCCCACCCACTCCCCTCTTGTTTTTATCCATGCTAGACACTGGCCATTCCCTCGTGCGTGACGAGTGAACAGTGGTCTGCGTGGCAAACCGTTGCTGAGAGAGAGCCAAGGGGAGGCGAATTCCAAGGACGTGACTAAGCTTACGCAAACGGTTATATGCGATACGGTCGCACTAAGTGTGCGATCGTGTCGAGTGAATGCGCAAATCCGCCGCCTGACCTCGTTACTGCCAATGCAAGACACCGGCAATACTAGGTAGACAGCGGTTGTCAAAAACCCCCGAACTATCTGCGTTTCCTTTTTCGGGCTCCATTGTTGGCGCAGATTTCCGATTTGTGGTGTTCTGACAGTGCCGCTCGATATTTTCAGCATTGTCATCTGGTTTGTGATTGTTTATTCCTGTCAGATATTCTTATTCTGGTACGAACAGTTGACACATTGATTCCGTATTTATACAGCAGCTTATTTCACCCCTTTGATTTCTGCCGTGTGTTTACAGGTCGCGGGTTGAGACTGCATCACGTCGGAAATGAAGTTTATTTGGAGTGTTTAAGTGATGCTGCAATCTTTGTGCAATCACCCAGTTGTAATCACTATCACAACTGGCATCCAGCCACGGTGGTCAAGGTCCCACCCAGTAAGCGATCGTTTCATGCATTCGTGCTTTGTTGTATTTCTATTTGTACTACTCACCAAATATGAGTAGTTTGATCAACCGTGTTGTTTATTTATCCTACTCACTTTCCCCTTGGTCACTGTAGAATGCAATCTGAAGCTGTTTGACAGTCGTGCGTTCGCTAGCCAGTTGGCAGAATGTATTACTCGCAGCTACGAGTCCGTATTCGCCTTGACCCATATGTGTGCAATTCGCATCAGTTTTGTGAAAGGATGGGGAGCGGAATACCGGTGAGTTTGTGAGATCATGTGACCGACTTCTCGATTCCCCTATGCCAAACAGCCTCGTATATGCACTGGTTTTTTTCCAGGATTTAATGATTTGTAGGAATGCAGTCATCGTCCAAAATTACACAGTCAGCTAGCAAGATAGATTGAATGGTTTTGCACTAATTTATTATAACGCGTGTTCATCCATGTGTTCCGTGATAATTACACCCAGAAGCTGTGTTTTAGTGACCAAAGTTTTCCCGTGTGGATTTCTTTTTCGCAAATGAGCAGGTTTTCCCAATGGGACGGACGAATCACAGATGAAGTGTCGGCGCGCATAGACAATCGTCGATTTGCTGATTTGAATCATTTGTGGTGCAGTCGCGACATTCGGTTGTCCGTGAAAAGTCGAGTGTATGCTGCAACCGTTCGGCCAGTGCTCGTTTGCGGTGCAGATACTTGGCTGTTAAGGGAACCCGATAAAGTTTCACTGTCGGTGTTCAGACACCGCTGTCGCCTGGCACGAGTTTGGTGGGGCAGCCGGACGACCAATGCTGAGGTGAGGCGCAGAGTTTCAGGCAATCGCGGTTGCTCATTGGAGCAAATGGTCGACTTCCATAGATTACATTGGTTGGGGTGTGTGGTACGCATGTCATTAAATAGGTTGCCACGGCGAACGATTTTCGCAAAAGCAGGTATTGGGTGGAATATAGCTAAAGCTGGTCGAGCTAAGACCTGACGTGAGGATATGAAAACCCTAACCAGGATTCTTGGTCACATAGGTCCCGTTAAGCTCCCTGGATGGGGACCTCGGGATTACTGTAATCAAAGATTAGAGACACAGTGGTATTTCTGCGGGTGCGCTCGTGCATCTCAATTTATTTGCAAAATTAGTTCACTGAAATTCTCATCTTTCTCTTCGATTCTACTTTCAACCTTTCCTGTATTTTTCCTAATGTTCATCCAAATGAGCAGCCAACAGGCATCAAACAAAACCATGGCACGAAAGTGCATGATCAGTGGTTGTACAAACTGGACCGAAAACCTCATTTATACCCAGGTAATAAAGATGCACACAATCAGAGGGATATGCGACGGTCAGAGCACGAATAGAATTTTGGAACGCGTATTGCGAGAATCCGATCGAACACTTGATTTGCTTTCATTGAACGAAGATTGTCTAAACACCAGAATCCACACCGTAACAGACAAGCTCAATTTCAACCTTCTGCTCAAAGTGTGGAACAATCCCCACATCTCCGTATTCATGAACACTTTTAATTTTATTCTTCAAAAACAGGATTAATGAATTGGTTTCCATCTGAATGTTCCCTCGCCCTTACATTATACATGCCCATTCCAGCGGTCAAGATAGCTTCAGATTGGTGGAATGTGAATGAGATAGCCCCTTGATTGATGGGGAATATCCAGCTTTGGTGATAAGGAGCCATAGGTACGCCAATTAATCAGTTTTTTTTAAGTGAACAGATCCGCCTTTGTTTATTTGATAAATTGATGCGGCAGATTATTATGATTCGGTTCAGAAAGTGAACTGGTTATTCTGTGAGAATTCTTTCTACCTTGTTATCTGCGGTTTTTGGTGAAATTCTATTGTACCAAGGTCGAATTTGAACTGGAGAGTTGTTCGGCGGGAGGGGGGATGGGTGGGTGAACGGAGAGTCCTTGACCTCTACAGGTTGATTTCCGGCTGTTCGATTGGTAAACTCAGATTGTCTCCTTGTTTCTCAGTTTCCCTAAGGGATTGTTCCCGTTGACAAGTAGCTTCTCGTCGATATATTCTCACTGGACCCAATATCTTTTTCATTAATCCACTGTCATGGGGCTTTTTAGGCTCGAACTTGCAAATGAAATTGAGTGTATTTTTTCGAGAAATTCATTTCAAATGACCATTATTTGTGTTTGTATTGCAACTCGTTTATTTCCATATATCTGACCGATTTTCGCATTATTCTACCCCGATACAGACGTCAGACTATCACCAGTACACCGTGCTGGATCGAAGTGCATTTGAATGGACCTTTAAAATGGTTGGATCGTGTTCTGCGACAAATGGGTTCTCCTACACTTCCATGTACCTCTGTAAGCTGAGATTCTCTCTCCGATTCCTCTTCTCGTACCATCCACCTGCCCCCCCCCCCGCACTCCATTCTGACCGACATTCGCGGTTTCTTTCTTTCTTTGTTTTTTTCTTATCCCACGTCTCTCTTGTCCCTCGTGTCATTCTCCATACGTGATGGGGCATGTATGATTTTGCAAACTCCCTCGTATTCAAGAGACCACATTTTCTATTTATTGACTATTTAGTACCAGTTTCTCGTATGTGTCGATGCTCTTCTTTTTGAACCAAACGTGGCGTATTCATTCCAGCTGTTTTTCGAAAAACCATTGACATTGATCCCGTTCCCATTCATTCGCCAATCCCTCGCTGTTGTAGCATTTATTCCAATTCTCACTGTAAAACTCGTTTCTCGTTCTCATAACGTCTCTCCTGTCTGGGATTCGATACTCCCGTGGTTGTACACTACACTCACTGCTACCCTCTTGCCCCCACTGGTTACCTGAGATTTCTCGACTCGACTCGACCCGACCCGATTCTTCGTTTTGTGTGTGTGTGTGTATGTCATGAGGCAGAATTGGATGGTTATTATTACATCGCTATCTATCATCCGCGGTCATCTCTTATCAATATTTTTCTAATTTTTATCGTATTCCTTTTCCGCCATATTATGGTGACCTTGAGTGTATACCGGTTCAAACCGGACAAATTTATGCGCCTCCTATTCTTATTTTTTTTAAAAATCTACTCTTGTCATCCTCTTCCAGTTTGACATCTCTAATCCCCTTATCGATCAGTCCTCCTTCCTCTGCGCCATCTCTCCTCCCGTTTGTTCTTACGGATTCCACCTACTCCTTGTCGACCTGACTTGATATACCTACCCGATTGGATCCAATCGCGGTCATTTGATTTGGTTGTTGAACAATCCGCTAAATACTTCTGGATAATCTGATCCTCTTCACTTATGCGAACATCTCGAATTTCCTGTTTAATTTACTATTTTCTGTTCTCTTTTGTTTGTTTTTTCTTCATCATGTTTTGATCACTCCCCCGTGTTCACTCACTTATCTTTGTCAACTGTGCACGTTCTCTTGTATTCGATAACAAAATTGTACTGCTCCGCTGTTCGCCTGTGGATCCCGTTTTGCCATCACTGTAATTGTTTTTCTGTATAGAAGGGATATCACAGTTGCGATCACCCTACTTGGTCTATGTGTGTGTGAATGTGCTTTTGTGTGGTTTGCGGTGCCAGAATCTCACTTTCACCTGATTGTTATGCGCCATCACCACGGGCACACACACACACACACACTCATGCACA